GGTGGAAGGGGAGTTTAGACTCCGGGCGATGCTCGCCTGCCCGGGTCTACCCGCCTGAGTACCTGAGTAACGGCCGAGGAAAGTCGCTGAGGCCGCCTCAGTCTGGGCCGCTGCCTGTGTTCACACTCTGGCCTGCAGGGTGCCGCCTGCTGACCTGGCGCAAGATGTTGCCCCTCCCTCTGCCGAGCCGTGGTTTCCCCACTTCTAACGTGGGCAGGACTGCAAGTCTCTTGATGTTGGTAAGAGGAGTAAAGGAGCACGTATTTGCAAGGCATAGCCCTTGGCTGGGCACATGGCAACCCCAGTTAATAGGAACTGATCTTTTTATTACAAACTAGGGTGAAAAATACACATTCGGCTGCTTGTGTAGGAGAAGACCTTGGCATTTTACTTCACCAACTCTTTACGTAAAGCAAAGACTTCATTACTAGCCAATGAATAAAAGCATGCACCGGAAGTGACTGGTGCTGTGCCGTGACAGGGGAGCAGCTCTGATGAATGGCAAATTGTCGTCTCTGTCTGCTTCTGTTATTGTAATGTCTCTTCCTGGGACCAAGAGATGCTGTGTTTCAGTGGCAAAAGGTCCCTTCGCCACTTGTGTGTCTGAGTAATCAAGGTTGAGGGGAGGCATCCTCTCTGGTTACCATGGTATCCGGTAAGAGGCTGGGTAATCTTGTAACCTGTACTTTCTTCTATGGACCTATCTTATCCCCCATCCAGAATCTGATCAAAAGTTTATTATTATTATTCTTTTCTGGTACTGGGGATCAAACTCAGGACCTTACACTTGTGAGGCTGGCACGGTGCCACTGCACTAAATCTCCAGCTCTATTATTTGTGGGTTTTTTGGTTTTTTGTTTGTTTGTTTGTTTGTTTGAGACAGGGTCTCACTATGTAGTTGAGACTGACCTGGAACTCACTATGTAGCCCAGGATGGTCTCGAACTCATAGCGATCCTCCTGCCTCAGCCTCCCGAGTGCTGGGATTACAGGCCTGCGCCACCATGCCCAGCTTTTTGGTTTTTTGAGAAAAGGTCTCGGTGTATAATTCTAGCTAGCCTGGAACTCACTATGGAGCTCAGGCTGGCCTTGAACTCTTGGTGATCCTCCTGCCTCAGCCTCCTGAGTGCTGGGATCACAAGTGTGCACCACCATGCCCAATTTAATCAAAATAAAAAAAAACAGTTATTGCTGTGAACCAGCTGTATGGGTGCAAGGAGCCATGTGGCGGGCCATGCTGGTGACAGTAAGCATGATTTGCAAGGCCTAGAAACTTTAGAACTGCATTTAAGGCTATGTCCTTGTGCTTCTCACTTGGTTGTGTGTTCAGGTCTTGGTTGTAATCTTTTGGGTTTGCAGCTCTACATGACATTTCTGGTTAGATGGGGTACCCAGAAGAGCATTGGTGCTTCCAAAGCATGTGTTGAATAAAAAAACCCTTAGACAAATGCAGAGTTGGTGACGGGAGTGTTCTTAGCTCTGTGACTGTGAGAAAAACACAGTACACCTCTTAATTCAAAATGGCAGCCATGGCCATGGAGGGCTTCCTGCAGACCAACTGTGGTGAGTCTTGCTGTGGTCAGAAGAGACAGATCCCAGGCTCAGAGCCAGCTCTGCCCATTTAGGGGACACCTGTATAGGTGGATGCTATACTCTTGAAGCAGACACAGAAAAGACAACTGAGTGCTCTCTATCCATTGGCTGGTTGTTATCCTTATTTTGTTCAAATGGTGAATTCCATCCCCATATGCAATTCTTCCTTTCTTTTGCCATTGTAAACACCATCATCATCCACATTCACTCATGCGTACCGGGCCATCATTGCCCAGTGAGGATTATGCTATGGTTCATGTGTTGGGGTTCTTGAGGTGGAGGAGCCTTTAAGTGGTGAGACCTACTGGACAGCATTTGGATCATGGGGTGCTGTCCCAAAAAGGGATTAAAGTAGTTTTCATGGAACCTTGGCTTCCAAAAGAAAGAGTGATCATAAGGAATGAGCCTAAGCCCTGACTCAACCTCTGGATTCCTGTCTCCCCATTCAACCTTACCCTCTCATGCACATTCCCACCACAGTCCCACCCACTGTCATGTGACACAGCCAAAGGGACCCTCACAAGAGGCTAAACAGTTGGGCCACTGGTCTAGGACTTTCCTCCTGTGAACCGAGTACATTCCTTTAAAGATCTTCCAGCCTCAGCTGTTTTGTTATAGCAATGGAAGAGGCACTGATATGATCCAGTACGTGCTAGCCTCCCTTGCAGCTCGATGTGCCCGTGCAATTAGATTAGGGCCAATGGAATGCAAGCAGAATATGCAACTTCCAGGGGCACCGTTACAAAGGAAGTTGTTGATCTCCAGAGCCTCTTCGCCCTTGCCTCTGACAGCAGCTGGAGCAGCTGCCCATGGGTGAAGTTGAGGGTTGTGTGTTGGGGATGGCAGAGCTGCCCACCAGCTGGGTTAGTTGTGGCCCAGTGGAGAAAAACTGCCT